AGACCTAACGGCATTCCTGCTACAGCAGCGACAGTTGATGATGAACAGCCTCATTATGATGGAGAGCCTTGGCCTGACTGTGGATGTGAGATAAAATTTAGTTCATCCTGCTTCTATTTTATTTCTTCGTTAGAGCACACTGTCATTTTGCTCTATTGCTTGTAGGATGCATATTTGTATTAACCCATTCAACCCCGTAGCAGTCAAATCTAGCCATTACTGATTCAACCTCTTAGTAGCCAGATGCAGCCTCGTGACTCACTGTTCACACATTGTAATTAGAAAGCGTAAATCTTGTCATTAAGATGAGTCTCGCAAGATGTGAGACCAAGGTAGATTATTTTAACGATTGAGCAAGAGTATTCATTTTTTTAAATGGCAAATTGATTTATCTATTGTTATCATTATGAGTGGTGTTAAGGGCTTAAATATATAGTGTGATTGCGTGTTGGTTGAGATTATGTGTGTTGTTTTATCTATTATTCTTAGTATCTTGTGACGTATTGTGTGAAAAGGGATATGACATAGTATTGTTCTGTAGTGGGTCTTTGAGTAGAGTAATGGAAGTTAAAGAATTAGTTCGTTAATAAATATATTTAAAATGAGAATAATGGTTTGTGAAGTGTATGTAATGAAACCCCTAGACAACAAAGCCATAGAACCCTAGGGTAGACCAGGTTCGTAACAATGGTCTGAGTACTTCTTTGTAGTTTGACATTCAAAAATGTACACAACAAAACATCTTTAAATAGTGTAACACAATACATTAAGCAATCAATTACAAATGCAAAACAATTTATTTCACATAAAAACCTTATGTCATTAAATGTTATTTTTTTTGGGGGGGGGGGGTTCTGAACCTATCTATGGTAGATGTGGATTTGTTCCCTTTGGCTTGGGTTTCATTAAAAAAAATCATGATCACACGGGGGTTGAATGGGTTCAATGTGATTGATCATAATTAGGTATTTCAATACTTTATCCTATTTACAATTTAATGACTAAATTTTTTTTTTTAATTCTACTTTCCTAGCCCTCCATTGTTCAAGCTTCTGTGAGTCCTTCATCTTTAGGAGTTAGTCAGGTATTGACTAACCAGCAGTTACAACAGCAGGCATTACAATCCCAACTTCAGCGGCAGCAAGGCTCTTCTGCATTAGCAAATGTGCAGGGTAATTGTGTGATCTGTTTCTGTGTCAATTATCTAGGGACTGTACACTTTGTACTATTGTGAAATTACTCTAACTTAATTAATCGAGTCTGTTACTTTGATCATACTTAGCCAAAGTCCAATTCTTTTGTTCTTCAGTATTCTCATCAAAAGCACTGCTGTTATTCTTACCCTTGTGTTTTGAGTGACTTAACAAACAAATATTTCAAGCCATATAATTTATTATGCATGCTATGTGTGAATAAATTTGTCTTAAATGTATGCAATGGTGAGATATAATATAGCCATTTTATAGCCATTTTCATTGTTTCTATAGAATAGTAGTTACTATCCTAGTGTCTCATTTGTATTTACTTAGTTTACATGTTTTAATAATTGTAAAGCTATATAAAAATGCCTAAATAAATAAATAAATATAATATAAAAATTATTCCTGTTTAAATTAATGCATCTAGTAAAAAAGAAAAACAGGTTTGCTAATAATTCTCAATACAAATAAAATGAACTAAGGGGGATTACATACATAATAAAAATTGCCTAATTTTCATGACTTTCTTCCCCAAATGAATTCCCATATAAATTTTTTGTGTGTGAAATTTTGACAGAACTGTGATTATTTCTAGGAAAAATTAAAATTCCTGCATATATGTTCATTTGTCACATCTGAACATATTTGACTAAATCTGCTAACAACTATCTGTGTAGATAATTCATCAAGTACTAGGGGACAGGGTCGTGGCCTCTCACTGGACCTATTCTCCCAGCAGCCAAACTTATCTGATCTGAGATCAATAACTCAGGGTAGGCAAATTTTATATATTTAAAAAAACTTTTCTTTTTTTTAAACTCAACAAGGCAATTCTTTAACTTTAATAGTTTCACTCATTAAAAATTCATTTTTTTTAGTACAGAATTTGGACAGGTGGGTGACTTTTTATTTTATTTAAATTCTTCAGCGTGATCATATTTGAGTCTGCTTAACCTGTACAGTAGTGCAGTATTGTAGCTGTAGCCCCCATTAAGGAATTACCTTCAGCACCCAGAAAAGGGAAATAATTCCATTTTGACCATAAGTTGCTGACTTTTAAAATGTATAATAAATAAATCTTTCATGAAGTCATAAACAAAATTATTGATAACTGTATAGAAATTATTACATTTAATTAATATATGTCAACAGTAGGACCAGTTACAACTAAAATTATTCAGTGTTAATTGAACACAGTTGGTCAGACTAGTCAGATCTATCAACTTCATCTTCTGACCAACCGGGGATATCAAAATTTTGTACTAATTCAATATCAACATCACTTTTATTTCCATGATCTACTTCTGCATCAAGTTCATTACTGTCAACACTAAAAGCCTACGTACTTTCAGTTTGAAGTGATCTAGAAGGGCAAATGCCCATCTACTGTCAACACTAAAAGACTATTACTTGCAGTTTGAAGTAATCTAAAAGGCCAAATGCCCATCTACTGTCAACACTAAAAGACTATTACTTGCAGTTTGAAGTAATCTAAAAGGGAAAATGCCCATCTACTGTCAACTGTTATTTAAATCTTTTAAAAAAGTGGCGTAAAATCAATTGCACAGCCACCAACCCCCAAACAAAACTTGACACTTATTATTCATAAACAGGCTCTTTGAAACTCCTTAATAAAAAGTGTTACTTCATTAGGCAACGATGAAAATGGCTTATTGTTTAGGGCGGGATTAGGCCGTAATGTGACAGAGGTGTAATGGCTGGAAAGCTGTTTAATCAGTACAAAATATTTGAATAAAATTAATTGGCAAATCTCAAATTGTTCTGGCTGCAGTGTCGGTTACTAAGGATAAAATTGATAATAATTTATTTGTATGGATAATTTTGAAATAAATAAATTTGGATAAGGTTGTGGCATTTCATTTTCTGAGACAAAAAAATTGGTAAAGTTGGTAAATTAAAATTATAAATGCCAGTCTACTCATGTGGAGCAAGCATCTTGACACTTCACTGAAGAACAAACTATCATTGGTGATACCAATTATTATTCAGAAATATATTTTTTTTTATTCCCTGCCAGGTTCAGGAAACAGCCTTCTCCAAAACCAGCAACTGCTCCAAGAAAGTCTGCTGCAACAGCAACAGATGAATGCATTGAATGCCAGGATAGCTGAACTCACATTGGGTAGGCAAGCTGCCATGATGAACCCCATGAACCTTTTGATGGGAAATTCATTTCTAAGGCTCCCCAACTTTCAGCAGACTGCACCCAGTGTCCCCAACTTTCAGCAGAGTGCACCCAGTGTTGCATCGTCAGGTTGGTGCAACTCCACGTCAATGCTCCAGCAGCCCACCTTGGTGTCTCCTCAAAGTCCCGCTTCCAGTGTAAATCTGAACGGACGGCCGACTCCGAGAGCTGCACCAGGCTTAACTGCAAATGCTTTAGAGCAGAGTCAGCTGTTTCAGCTGCAGCAGAGCCTCGGGTCCCAGCCTTTCAGTAGAGGAACCGGTGGATCTATTCTTAATGTCACGCCAAGAACAACCAACTAAATGTCATTTTGTTAAGTTGGGGATTGTGATTCACTTTTGGATTTTGTACCATTCTAGAGCAAAGAACAAATAGCCAACCTTTGAGACTCCAGAGATGTTTCAACTTCTCTATAAACCTAGTTAAATGGTACTAATTTAAAACATTTCATTGCATTGAATTCATGAAAAGGATAGATTTCTTTTAATGTTTTAAAGCTGAAAAAGAATTCATTTATAGGGAATTAACAATGGACTACTTACTAAAATGTTTGTGTCTTAGATAAGGTCAAATGTAGGTAAATTATTTTCTACTGCCAAAACTGAGAGGTCTCTACTGCCAGGACTAAGAAGTGCACCAATTTAATGGTTGTAATACATGTCACATCTACTAAAGTGAACAAATGTTGTAACAATTATTTTATTATGCACTCATAAAAGTTCATATTTAATTATTTTGCTCCAGTTTCAGGTTGTTTTTTTTTATGAACATTTTGTAAAATAATGCAACATTCCATACAGTATTAATATTGATCTTGTTAAATATATTTTTTTTTTTATGAAGATCGATAAATTAATCAAATTTATTGAGAATCAAATGTATCCATATGAATCTCAGATCATTATTAATTTAGTTGAGTGTATGGCCACTTTTCTCCCCCATCATTCAATTATTTTGTCTGCATTTATTAGAATCCATTGTGCCTTGTGTACATAGTGTATTATAAATTATTAATTTATCATTTAAAAAATTTCAGTTCTCACATTTGTTATGTAAAATGAAATGACTGTTATGTTTTGTTCTAACTAAAGGGATTTGATTGCATTTTAGAATTAAAAACTAAATCATCCATTTTCTATTTTGTCACGAAAAATAAATTTTTGAAACTTCTAATCCTTTATTATTTTTAGTTCCATGCATTAGTAGATAATTGCATTATTGAAATATCATTTTTCCATTTCCTATAATGAGGAAAAAAAAAAGGTAAGATGCAGAATTTCTAAATTTGTTAAAGGAACATGCAAACTCACTGTTGTCACAGGTTTTCTATTATTTTTCCTAGTCGGCTATTTATTTTGTATGGATCATATTTAAGAATCCCTTCTTCTTACCCTATATTAGAAGACGCACAAACCACCAAAAAGTAAATGTTTTAGGTGCATTGAAAAAGAATGTTAGTGATTCCATGAGTCTTGATTCGTGCAATAGTCTTGATTAGTGGACACTTTGCACACTGGTGAACAAAGGACTAAACAAAATTCAAAACTTACAAAATTTAAAATACAATTGCTATATCATTTTTAATAAGTATTTTTATTTTCCATCAATAAAATTAAAACCATTATCTCATCATCTGTATTACTTTAGTGGAGTAGTGTCATCTCAAGTTACTTATTAAAGTGGTATAGTGCCAGCTCTATATTACTAAAGTGGTATAGTGCTATCTATCTCTCTGGACTTATCTTGTCTTTCTCAACATGGGTAGTAATTTCAATCATTTCTATCAAAATGGCATTTATTGGTCAACCTTCATACATGAATTTGAATTGCATCTCTTGTGATCTTAGTACTGTTGTCATCTGACATTGTTCTGAGACAAAGTGCTAGTCATCTCAATAATTTTCTCCAACTCCTTATCTACTCTTGTGATCTGTTTAAAACAAACAATAGACACATTTTGGGGGATTTATTGAGGCTAATACATTATATCACACAGTAACAGCTTCAACACTCGCTCAGTAAACTATTGTCAGGAGAGATATCACAAGAGTGGAATGAAAATTGGGTCACAGTGTTATGTCAGCATGTTGGGGGTAAATGATGTTTACTTTGAACCCCCTTGTTAAAGTGTATTTATTAGTGTTGAAAATAAAAATTGATTTCTTACATATTTCTGATAATCGTCACTAAAAGATTAATACTGCGGTCAAGTCAAGATGTTATTCCTGTGGTACAGTCAAGATGTTATTCCTGTGGTACAGTCAAGATGTTATTACTGTGGTACAGTCATGTTATTACTGTGGTACAGTCATGATGTTATTCCTGTGGTACAGTCATGATGTTATTACTGTGGTACAGTCATGATGTTATATTACTGTGGTACAGTCATGATGTTATTCCTGTGGTACAGTCATGATGTTACCTTTGATTTCAACTTTCCAGCTTCCTGAGAATCAATTTTTTTAAACTTGACAAGTTTTTGCAGTTTTGCATCAAGTTCAATTTTTTCACTTTCCAATTTGTTCTTTTTGCTATGAAGTCTGTTAAGCTCTTTTTCGACATCTATTGTGCTGCCCTAGAAGTGTAACAAAAATTTTATGTTTCATATTAATCCTAAAACTTTTTCCAAAATGGACCTCTGATAAGTCATACATAACTATTCATAGATAATGTACATCATAATGGCCCTGTGGTCTACTAGTTACATCATCAATTGCACATACACTACAGCTACTAGTCTACTAGTGATATCATCAATTGTACATACACTACAGCTACCGGTCTACTAGTGATATCATCAGTTGTACATACACTACAGCTACCGGTCAACTAGTGATATCATCAATTGTACATACACTACAGCTACTGGTCTACTAGTGATATCATCAATTGTACATACACTAGCTATCAGCTAGTGTTATCATCAATTGTGAACACTACAGATACCAGTCTAGTGATATCATCAATTGTGCAGACACTACAACTACCAATCTATGTGATACCATATGTACATACACTACAGCTACCAGTCTAGTGATACCATCTATTGTGCAGACACTACAGATACCTTTAAGTCCACCAATATTTTCAGGTCTGGGTTGACATAAACTGTGGCACAGCCTTGCACCATGTCTGCAGTTGTTCTAAGAATCGTGACCTCGTTGCTCCGAGACAAGGCACACAAGCAAGTCTTGTGGTGAAACAAAATTTCTGCATAAAAAGACTTGTCTGTCTGTAGATAAACTAAAGGGGGGGGATAAAAAAATATTTGTGTTAGGGACTTGTTTAAATTTCTTGTGTTAGATATAAACAATTATTGCGAACACTCAAAATTCATGGTTAAAAATTCATTTAAAATAATGATTGGGTCTAACATTGTAGCTTAACTGGTTGCATCTGTAACAGAAAGTATTGGCACTATTCAGCATACTTAAATGAAGGCTAGGTGTCTTTGATTGTGCGTTTACAGTTTTCAAAGACGGCGAATTGTAGCTTTTTCAGTCATGAGGTCTTTTGAAATATAAGGTCTGGTCAGTCACATGAGAAAAATTGCTTAAGTAATCATTCACTATTAGCACGAAGGCTGAATTTGCCCAAGTTTATCCCAACAATTCATCAGCTAACTATTCTCACATGATATACTTTAAATAAATCACTGTTACCGTGAGACTTTGATCCCATAATGTTATATTCTTTCCTAAGCTTCTGTATATGATGGATGATATCTTGCACTTGTTTCATAGAGGAATCCAAGTAATCCATATACCAGGGGAACTACAGCACATTGTGAGTTTGGAATGTGCCAAGTGAAAAGAATTTTAGAATTTTTTAATTTTTTTTTTTTAATTAAAGAAAAAAATTGTAATACTTCATAAAAAATAATATTTGTTTTACATTCTATTTTACTTGGCTGAATATGTTTGTTTTCCACTCATATTCCTAAGAATTTTGAAGAAAATATTTTCACCATGTGCAATTTGAAAAGTGTACAAGTTTTTCATTATTTTAATAAGAGAGTTGTAAGGAAATTACTAAAACTTTTGGAAAAAACAATTTTTAAAAAAAAATTTCATAGGCAATAATTCTTTTCTGACCTTATTTTTTAAACATGAGTTATGAAAATAAAAGTACAAGAGTTTAAAAACTTCTTTATAGCTTTAAATTTGATACCCTTAAAAAAGAATGATTATTCCGTTGATTACAGTTGAAAAATGTCAACTCTTAAATGCCATAATGTTGTCAGTGAATTTCCAAGCCAGTTTTCCTTTAAAGCACACAACACAAGTCTCCAGGACTCACAGTTTCTGGTTTGGGATACTCCGCCACACACACACTCTCAGATCGCCCAATCCCTCTTTGTGGGAGTCTCTGATAAAGCTCCTCGCATAAGAAGGGCATAATTGGAGCAGCCGCCAGCACAAAGGTCTCGGCACACCTGTAAAGGATTTGCTGAACTAATTCTTGTCTCTTCAAATCATCACTGATAAATATTGGTTTCACAGCCTCCTGTCATAGTTTAAAAAAAAAAAAAAAAGTTTATTTACATTCATAATAGGACTTGCAATGCAGCATTCCAAAATGTTATATATGTAATCTAATAATGAACCTGTTGTATAATTTAGGTCATGTCTGATCCAAAATGAAATGCTAATCTCCAAGTGTAAGAGTGTCAAAATATGTTTTTCGCTGGATCAACAAGCATAGCCTGATCCACAATATTGATAATGTTAAAGCACTTTCAAATTGGGGGTGGGTAAAAAATAAATCATTTCAATAACCAGCAACTTTAAGTGAGAACAAAATGAAAATTAATATGGACTTGAAGATTCAATTGTTTCACTGCACAGAATATGAATTATTAAGGGGAAAAAAATTAAGTTGAATATTAAATCTGTTGCTGGTACTGTTAGCTTTGAATTTTTTTATTTGGTCAAAACTCACAATATAAATATCACACAGCTCCTGATACCAGAACTGTTGCAGAGCACCAGTCACAAGGTGAAGGTCATTTGTTTGAAAATGGCTGTCACATGACTGGACCATGTAACTCAACCTGCTCAGGATCCATAGATCTGTACCATCCTCAAATCCTGTCGGCTGAATTTGTTTACAAAATAACATATGTAAGAATACAAACAATGCAATCACCAATATATAAAGCTTTTGAAAAAATGTTCACATATTAATTTGTTATTAAAGTTAAAGACACTTATTGAACATAAGCTTTCCAATGCACTCTTCCCAACCTTTCTTTTTTTTCCCCTTCATGCAGGTTTCTTTTAAATTATGTTTTAGACAAAAATAAACGTTCACTTAGCTAATATGTTCATCATCCAGAGATTTGAGTATGTCAAAAATATTTATCATCCAGTGCCAGAAGAATTAAATTCCAGTAAATCAGCCTGACCATGCATATATTTTACTTCTATCTGTATCAAACTGCCCCCAAATTTTTTAAATTTCTAGTTACCTCCAAACGACCAACAAATATTTTAGCTCCTGGTTACCTTTAAGCTGACCACCAAAATGTCATAGTTTATAGTTACCTCCACATCTTGAACGGGAACAAATTCTGGTGAAAACTTGGACAAAATAAACTTGAACGACTGCCATATCTTGTTACAGAAACGCATGTTGCTTTCAGCGTGTGTTACATCAAAGTTGATATCTACATCTGTTGGAAGAGACCAAGAAAAATACTGTAGTGTCAATTGTTTTCTTCATAAGAGCCTTTCAGAGGTGCGGGGAGGCCCTAAGAGTCCCAGAGAATAAACTTTTTGAGAGCACCTGGAAGATTTATTTATTTTGTAATGAAATAATAATAAACTACAGTTATACTACAGTTATAAAACTGAAAGATGAAATTTACAGGCTTAAAATATTTCATGGTGATAAGGGGAAGAGACTGCAATCACATACCACTTGTTTTCTTGTATACTACATGGCAGCTAAGTGTTCATTTTAATTATTATATTGCTTTTCCTGTTGTTTTTTCTTTTATTACTTCTTGAAAAAAGAGTATTCTTTTTTGTGGAAAAACAAAGGATGGTTTTAGCTGTTATTCAATGTTATTCAACATACTTGTACTGAATAAATTTGAATCCCTTTGAAGATGGGGGGTCTCTTTATCCATATATATATTAAGGGAATTTTATAACAATCAACATTTTATATTAACAAGTTTACTTTTAACATTATAGGGACACAGTCAAAAATTACTTTTAACTCTTTCGTAGCGGAATATTTTTATCGAAAAAATGTAAAAAAAATTTCAAAGTGCGAAAAAGAGTGAGAGGTTGGGTTTATTAAAAAATATTTAAAATATTATTCTTTGGTTTATAAGACTAAAATTGGTATCAAATGAGATATAAATGAAAGGACTATATGTTTGTAAGCTTATTTCTTCAGTTTAAATAAAATAAGTAACAGAAAATAACCTTAAAATGTGAAAATATTTTATGCTAAACCATTTTTTCCCAAGACCCTATGATGTACGCATACCGCATCTTCATTTCTATAACTAAAATCCTCTAAAACTACTACTATCGTAAATATAAATCATTTTCACTATCAAAAGAAATAGTATAGTATAAAACAATTCCAAAGGTTTTTAAGCTGTTAGTCGTCTACGAAACTAACTCACCTACTAGGGCCTAGAGTAGCCATAGCAACAGTAGCAAAAAAAAGCGATGAAAATCATTAAAATAATGCTACAAATGACAAAAATAATCCTTGGTTTCACTTATAAACAATAACATACCACTCTTCTATGTAAAAGTCTTATTTAAAAATAGCTCTTAAAAATTTTAACAGAGAAATAGCAAAGAAACAAACATGATATTGAAACAACGCACAGCGCGTTAGTCCGTGCTTTTGGGAACGGCGGACAAACGCAGTTTGAGTTGTTCCGCATCGAAAGAGTTAAAATTATAAGGGCACAGTCAAACTTAATCTTAATATTATTGGAACACAGTCAAACTTATTTTTAACATTATAAGGACACAGTCAAACTTACTTTTAACATTTTAGGGACAGTCAAACTTTTTTGTAACATTATAGGGGCACAGTCAAACTTACTTTTAACATTATAGGAACACAGTGAAAATCTTAGTGCATCAACACCACACTGGGCAATACCCTTGGGATAATCCTTGGTCAGGCCAGCGTGGGCAACATTGATCTCCCTTGGATTTAAGTTCCCCTCTTCAAGGCGCTTGTGTAATTTCTCAGTTAATGAGAAAAGTGATGGTCTTATATCAGTTATTTGATAATTAGACATCACTAGTGTTAATATTTTTATGAACCATAATAAGGCTAAGTAAAGAACAGAACACTGGAGTTTCATTTAGTTAAGTAAAGAACAGAACAGAAGTATATACAAAAAAAATTATTGTGAAACACCAAGTAGCAGAGCTATCTCTCTAAAAATTACAAAAAATCTACTTGAAATATTGTTTTTAGATAATATTCTATCTAAATATAACAGGTTCATTTTGTCACTGTGTTTCCACAGATCAACAGCATCTTTCTGTCAATAGCTACCTCCAGGGTAATGCCATTGACAATATCCAAGGGATCAATGACATTGCCCAAAGACTTGCTCATCTTGCGACCATGGGCGTCACGTACCATGCCGTGCAGGAATATCTGATTCATAAAATAGGAAATAATGGTAAGGATTTTCCGGCTGCCAAAAAATATCAACATGCCTAATTTTTACTAATTTCACAGACCAGATCTAGGGCATTGCTCTCTAAGGCACATACACATCTGATTGATGGAGGCACAGACACATCTGACGGATGGAGGCATGGGTACATTTGATTGATGGAGACATGGGTACATTTGATTGATGGAGGCACAGACATGGGCACAGTGTGGTGATTTGGAAAAATCATAAGAGTAGCTTACACAGTTGAGCTGTCCATGTAAACCTTATAATGAATTATACAAGCAAGCGGGAAATCTATTATAGATATTCAGCTTACTGAAAGGTAAGTGATGATAAAAAAACATATCAATAAGTTATCTCACCTTACTGAAAGGTAAGTGATCATTAAGAAACAAAGTTATCTCACCTTACTGAGCGGTAAGTGATCATTAAGAAACAAAGTTATCTCACCTTACTGAAAGGTAAGTGATCATTAAGAAACATAAAGTTATCTCACCTTACTGAAAGGTAATTGATCATTAAGAAACATAAAGTTATCTCACCTTACTGAAAGGTAATTGATCATTAAGAAACATAAAGTTATCTCACCTTACTGAAAGGTAAGTGATCATTAAGAAACATAAAGTTATCTCACCTTACTGAAAGGTAAGTGATCATTAAGAAACATAAAGTTATCTCACCTTACTGAAAGGTAATTGATCATTAAGAAACATAAAGTTATCTCACCTTACTGAAAGGTAGGTGATCATTAAGAAATATAAAGTTATCTCACCTTACTGAAAGGTAATTGATCATTAAGAAACATAAAGTTATCTCACCTTACTGAAAGGTAAGTGATCATTAAGAAACATAAAGTTATCTCACCTTACTGAAAGGTAATTGATCATTAAGAAACATAAAGTTATCTCACCTTACTGAAAGGTAGGTGATCATTAAGAAATATAAAGTTATCTCACCTTACTGAAAGGTAATTGATCATTAAGAAACATAAAGTTATCTCACCTTACTGAAAGGTAAGTGATCATTAAGAAACATAAAGTTATCTCACCTTACTGAAAGGTAATTGATCATTAAGAAACATAAAGTTATCTCACCTTACTGAAAGGTAAGTGATCATTAAGAAACATAAAGTTATCTCACCTTACTGAAAGGTAAGTGATCATTAAGAAACATAAAGTTATCTCACCTTACTGAGAGGTAAGCGATCATTAAGAAACATAAAGTTATCTCACCTTACTGAGAGGTAAGTGATCATTAAGAAAAAAAGTTATCTCACCTTACTGAAAGGTAAGTGATCATTAAGAAACATAAAGTTATCTCACCTTACTGAGAGGTAAGTGATCATTAGGAAACATAAAGTTATCTCACCTTACTGAGCGGTAAGTGATCATTAAGAAACATAAAGTTATCTCACCTTACTGAAAGGTAAGTGATCATTAAGAAACGTAAAGTTATCTCACCTTACTGAAAGGTAAGTGATCATTAAGAAACATAAAGTTATCTCACCTTACTGAAAGGTAAGTGATCATTAAGAAACATAAAGTTATCTCACCTTACTGAAAGGTAAGTGATCATTAAGAAACATAAAGTTATCTCACCTTACTGAAAGGTAAGTGATCATTAAGAAACATAAAGTTATCTCACCTTACTGAAAGGTAATTGATCATTAAGAAACATAAAGTTATCTCACCTTACTGAGCGGTAAGTGATCATTAAGAAACATAAAGTTATCTCACCTTACTGAAAGGTAAGTGATCATTAAGAAACATAAAGTTATCTCACCTTACTGAAAGGTAAGTGATCATTAAGAAACATAAAGTTATCTCACCTTACTGAAAGGTAAGTGATCATTAAGAAACATAAAGTTATCTCACCTTACTGAAAGGTAAGTGATCATTAAGAAACATAAAGTTATCTCACCTTACTGAAAGGTAAGTGATCATTAAGAAACATAAAGTTATCTCACCTTACTGAAAGGTAAGTGATCATTAAGAAACATAAAGTTATCTCACCTTACTGAAAGGTAAGTGATCATTAAGAAACATAAAATTATCTCACCTTACTGAAAGGTAAGTGATCATTAAGAAACATAAAGTTATCTCACCTTACTGAAAGGTAATTGATCATTAAGAAACATAAAGTTATCTCACCTTACTGAAAGGTAAGTGATCATTAAGAAACATAAAGTTATCTCACCTTACTGAAAGGTAAGTGATCATTAAGAAACATAAAGTTATCTCACCTTACTGAGAGGTAAGTGATCATTAAGAAACATAAAGTTATCTCACCTTACTGAAAGGTAGGTGATCATTAAGAAACATAAAGTTTTCTCACCTTACTGAAAGGTAATTGATCATTAAGAAACATAAAGTTATCTCACCTTACTGAAAGGCAAGTGATTATTAAGAAACATAAAGTTTTCTCACCTTACTGAAAGGTAAGTGATCATTAAAAAATAAAAAGTTATCTCACCTTACTGAAAGGCAAGCGGTCATTAAGCCCGAGACTCAGCATGACCATCCTGGCCACCCAGAAAAATAAGATGTCATGTCCAGTCTCCATTAGGTGCTGGGGGTAAAACTCTTCAAGGTCCAAAGTCTGGTTCAAACAGAACAAATAGAATTGAGGTGATAATTTAAGCAACATTATCATGTTTTTATGAATTGGTCAGCTGGTTTTAAGACAACACTACATCTGTCTTACAAAATAGAAGATAGCAATCCACTGAAAATACTGAACCACTGCCTACAATGTTCTTATGACATGATTTATTCTTTAAACAACATAATTTGTTAATATTAAGGCATGTTTTTATTCATGTTTGAGATTTGTGCTACAAAGCTCTAATTTTAATCATGTTTGAGATTTGTGCCACAAAGCTCTTTGATTTAAACACCAACCCACCTTCTGTGGCCAGCCGAAGGCAGAGAACGGGAGAAGGGCAGAAGAGAACCACGTGTCCAGCACATCCTCATCTGTCAATTTATACAAGCGAACAAGTTAATTCAGTTCACGGTTTTCCACTACGGCAGCTCGAATACACAAATATTCATATAAAGCTCTTAAGTCAAAAGAGATATCTATCAAATGGAAGCTCACCCTGTCTAACAGACAAAGATCCAAGTTGTTTCTTTGCTTCCTCTTCTGAAAGGGCACAGGTGGTTTTCTTACTCTCCTAGATAGATCAAAATTTGTGTCAATTAAAATGTTCTTATCATGTTATTATTTTTTTCAATTTAGCAGACTAGATAATAGTTATTAGTTTCCTTGAACAAAATAATTGATAAAGATGGGCTTGATGGTTCTAACTATGGCACCAAGCAGTGGCTAAATCAAATATGCATGCGCACAACATTTATATCAAAATGGAGGGCATTAAAGGCAGATTCCTTTTTTTTTCATGACAGTTCCAGTTATGTAAAGTGTATGACGTACCGACTTACCATACACGTATAGACTGGTATCCTGTGTCCCCACCACAGCTGTCTTGACAGGCACCAATCCCTAGAACAAGAAAGTAAACATTACCAGATATCTATTAGTATAATAAAATGTCATTTGCCAAACAGCATTGGCACATGGCTCTCTGTATGTCAAAAGGAATGACACGTGTCTAAAAAAAATCATTCTGCAAGTGCAGTGGTTCCCAACCTTTCTAATGCCGTGACCCTTTAAAACAGTTTCTAATGTGACGACCCCCAACCACAAAAATATTTTCTTTGATACTATATAACTGTAGAGTATATGTGTTTCAGATGGTCTTAGGGGACCCCAGTGAAAGGGCCGCGTGACCCCCAAAGGGGTCGCGACCCACAGGTTGAGAACCGCTGTGCTAGTGGGATCGAAAGTTATGGCTCGCCAAGGAACTTAAAAATGAAAAAAAATTAAATGAAATCACCAAGGCATCAGATTCAGTGTTTGGTACTCAAGTACTTTTCCTTGCAACAAAAAAAACAACAACAAAAAAAACATTTGCCAAGCTGAAAGTGAGAGAGGTGATATAGACAACCAAAATTCTAACCATTTCCAAATCCTTTTGAACAGCTTTCTTAAAATCTTTTCTTCAATATAAATTAGAACATCTTTTCTCTTATTCCTATCTATTATGCTGCAGATTAAATCTACTTAGGTGATTTACAATGTAAATTACATGGGTACCCAAACAATATGAATGATGATGTTACTGAGAAGCCAGTTCAGTAGGACAATGATCTTAGAGCCAGTGGAGTAAATGGAGTTTGTGGTGCCCGGGGCAGTCCTTGACTTCACTGCCAATAATTCACAAAAACTACAAAACATTCCTAACAAATAAATAACATAACATATCCAATGGATGGAATGTAAGATAAGATATGATTCTTTATTGATCCAAATTAATGGTAAAGTTTTTTTAATTACATTGGACATATTTATTTTCAGCACTTAAATAAACACATATTTAAACAAAGACAACATTTTATAATGATAACAATTTAAACACAAGACATCTAAAGTATTTCTCTGGCCTAGAAATAATCCATAAATGAACTCCTTTAGTGACATTCATGACTTAATTAGTGATCATTGCGATTTGCCGCCCAGGGTGGACCTCATCCTCTTCCTATGTGAACATGTACACACTACTAAGACTCCTTTGGGAAGTGCGCATTAAAAAAAAATTCGAAATGGCATTTTTTTATTCCCATTTATAATGACTAGTTTATGTGTCCCATAATCAGGTTTTCCAGCTGTGAGTTAGTAACAAACTACTGTATTAAACTCAAGTCTCTTAAGTAGCAATAACAAAAATGATATCATCAATACATTGCAATAATCATCATCAACATGTAGCCATAACAACACTGTCATCTGCAACATGTAGCTAAAACTATACTGTCATCATCATCATGCAGCTATAGCTAAACGATCATCATTAACATGTAGCTACAACTATATTGTTATCTTCAACATGTAGCTATAATTAAACTGTCATCATCATCATCAAGTACTCACTGAGTTTTGGTCAACCACTCCCACCAAATGATCTGGTTGTAGTCTGGAGTTATCTTGAGTTGACCCGATTCAACTGCCTGGAACAACACCGAGGGGTAGGTGATCAAAATGTAGTGATTAAAGACACAGTTGGGTCAAATGTTGAGTTTAATTGGGATGTGGTGGCCAGTGAAACTGTTGACCACAAAACAAAATGTTGGTCATTCACCAGAGATGCCTACACCAGTGAGTCAAAGATATTTTCTATCTTGCTTTAAAAAAAACAAAAAGTTATTTCTTTCCATTCAAATTAATTCATAAGTAAACCAGATTTCACAAACTCCTTGAACCCTAAGTTGGAGCCAGACTTTAAGAAGCTTGTAGAATATTGCAGTATCAAACATAACCTTGTTTCACTGAGGGGCTAGTGCTACAGTTTAAACCAAAAGTAAACGAAAATGGTCACCCAGCCCAATTCTGGAATGATTAAATAACGTTCCCTATCATCTGCAACAGAGAATTTTTTTTAAATAATTCACATACCTGCATGGCTCGTTGGGCCATTTCTCTGCAGTCTAAGAACCACTGCTCTTTAAGACGAGGCTCAACAATGTCTCCAGTTCGGCTGAAGATCACACAAAAAAAAATAATTTTAAACTTGAACTCGCACAGAGGACCATTGACTTGGAATTATTTTGTTGACTGCTATTCTTTACTTTAACCAAAAGGGTGTAAGACTATTAAAGTTGGTTACATTTCCATAACATCAGTGAGTTCAAGCAATAAACATTGTCTACAGCATCATACAAATTAAAGAAGGCATATAGGAATTAACATGACCTCAGACAGGCTACGACTGCTTAAATTATTTTTCTTCATTTACAACAAATACTGCAACGATTCATACTACACTGGTAGGATATACCATCTATTTTTCATTTCATTAAACCCAAGACAATAACTCAAAGCTTACCTACAAATGGGCAGCGTGGCTGCATGCTTATGTTCGCCGTGGTAACACCCCATGGCACTGAGGGCGTCCTTTAATTTTTTACGAACCACGAAGCGGTTCATCCCGCCAAAAGTTGGCACGTTTTTGCGTAGGGTGCCATCGTTATTTAGGATGTCGATAATTGGTAAGCAGTGGCGCTGACCTACTTCATAATCGATGGCATCGTGACCCGGAGTTATTTTCACTGCACCTGATGGAATAGACACTACTCTGATTTATTTTGCTAACTTTCACTGAAAAAACATTGATTTATTTTGTTAACTAAAAACTGCCACTGACACAACATTGATTTATATCATATACTGACACTGAAATAACATTGATTTTGTTAACTTCCACTGACACAACATTGATTTCATTTTGTTAACTTCCACTGACACAACATTGATTTCGTTAACTTTCCCTGAAATAACATTAGATAAAACAAATTACCGGGTACTATTCATTTTGTGTTTGTATAATTTTAGCTCTCATTACCTTGACCTTTTGAAATTTTTTGTACAACAAAAAAATTAATTATAATGTCCAGGTTTCAATCCATTAATTAGGTCTTACGCATTGCAAACAAAGATCCTAATAACAACTGATGCACTGAATGGATCACACAGTGACCAAGACCGTCACCAACACTTTTTCAAGATAACTGGCTTAACATCTTCTCTAACCTTTTACCTGTCCCAAACCCCATGTCGACAAAAGAATCGGCAATGATCGGTACCGGCCTGCTTCTATCAAAGGGATGGATAACTTTCCTCCCTACAAGATGTGCATAGCGAGAGTCTTTTGGGTTCACAGCCACAGCCGTGTCGGCCAGCATTGTTTCCAGCCTGGTTGTTGCCACGATGATCTGCTCATCTGTTGTAACAAATGGTATCTATGGTTATAAAATTTATTGACAAGGCTCATTAAAAAACTAAATGTGGCGCGCACAAAATATTGATAAATACAACCTGAGCTCAAAAGTATCAATTATAAGGATAAGCAATTTTTTCAGCTGGTTCTGATGTCCCAAAGTTTTAAGACAACCAATACAACTTCACTGCAATTTATATATGTCTAATTTTACTTCCTCCTTAAGTCCCTAAATTTTGTATGACTTATAATAATCCCTATGTTTCTATTTATATATGTCTTAAAATACTTACCTATAACCCTATTTATTTATGTAAAAAGGACATACAATGGTCCAAATTATGTTAAAAGAAGGACACACCATGGAGCTATTTATTTATGTCAAAAAAAGGACATACCATGGACCTATTTATGTCAAAAAAATGTACATACCATGGACCTATTGATTTATGTCAAAAAAAAGGACACACCATGGACCTATTTTTTATGTCAAAAAAAGGACATGCCATGGACCTATCTATTTATGTCAAAAAAGGACACACCATGGACCCATTTATGTTAAAAGAAGGACACAACATGGACTTATTTATGTATGTAAAAAGGAAGGACATGCCATGGACCTATTTATTCATGTCAAAAGGCCATGGACCTGGACATTGGTTAGGAAGTTATGTCATTCTTAATTTTAACGCTGATAAAAGTTTAGCCGTAGACAGACTCCCAATAAACAAATTAAGTGCAACTAAATAATAGATAGCGTAACCTGAAGCTCAATAGAAATGAGAAAATATTTCACAACCTGAATCAGCTACTTGGTAGGCAAAATGGTGAATGATGCCAACCTCAACACCACCCTCCACGCCAGGTACTTGTAACACTGTGGGACCCTCGACTGAAAGATTGTCTACCTGGAATGGAAACAGGGAATTAAAAAACTCAGCCACATAATTACATAGAGAAGGTTGGTCCAACTTCTGAAACCCGAAGACCACTTAAAACATAGAAAATATTTCTAAAATATAAAAGAAATAATTGAGACTCGCCGCAAACAAAATTTTTCTGTTGACAATATTCTATTTTCCCTCCAACATAAATTTAAAAAAACAAGATTAAGATAATAGCAGCAATGAAAAATACAAAACATGTTTTTGTTATTAAATTCATTTACCTCAATATCTGAAAGAGAGGACTGCAGGGCACATGACCAGTTAATCATACGATTGTCTCTATAGATCAGGCCTTTCTCAAACAATTCACAGAATGCTGTTGTTACTGCTTCACTTAGTTTCTGATTTGGAAAGAGGTTGGGTAAAATAAATTGCTAATTAATAATGACAATATGAACTGATTAAATCCAATAAACTTAGACACCATTATCGTTCGTTTCAGTTGTAACCAAATATAATATATTATAAAATTTAGAAAATGGCATACAACAAATGTGCTTTTAACCAATCAAAATCCAATATTTAAAAATGGATTTCGGTGAAAAAAGTCACATATATTATGAAAGTAAAAAGTAACAAAGATTTTGTATGCTATTTTTGGCTACTTTCATTTTTTTTTTTTTTTTACAAAATTTTCTTTATGAGAATCAATGAAATATTATATACAAACACATAAGCAGTATTATATAAATCATCTTTTTACCTCATCCAGTGTAAAATACTCTCTTGACCAATCTAATGATAAACCCAAAAGCTTCATCTGTTTTGTAATGGTGTTTCCATGTCTAGAATACAAGAAGTTTATAAGTTGATGTACCATAAAAACATTGTCTACAATTTATCAGCCTGGGCTTAGCTTAAAAAGACAGCACCACCCTTGAAAAGCAATAATGGTAATACAACATTTTAAATATGCTTGTCAAAGAAACTAGAATTGTACTCAGATCATCTCTCAGATCAACTCACCCAAACAGGTGTGTAAAGAATGCCAGGATCTAACCTAAATCTGAAATAACGAAGGATAATATAAAATGGGATAAGGGATTAAAAAAAAAATATTCCACTCACTCTTTTTTCCACTTCCAAATTTCTTGAACAAATGCCTCCCTCCCTAGGTCATGTCTCGTCTTCCCTTGTTCCTTCATCAACTTCCTCTCGACGACCGCATGGGTAGCTATGCCGGCATGATCTGTTCCTGGCAGCCATAAAGTTCTGTGTCCTTGGAGTGGTGAGGCCAATGTAATTACAGCGAATGAATACAAGATTTTGTGTGGAACATTTTATTTGCATGTAAGTAGGTCAATAAACTGCACAACAATATCTGCCCTTCAAGGCCATCGCTGAGTTAACATTGTTAGCAAAGAATGTTAAACAACTGAACATGCTGCTTTGTAACCTATGTTGATAGAACAGACAGGTACATTTTCTGTTGAGTTGACTATCAAATTGTTTGCAAATGGGCTTCGTCAATGGTTGTGAATAGTCATAACAGTATAGAAACTTGTCACCAATATGTATTTAAATGTTTGTCTTGACATTGTCATAAAACATAAAGTTGCTGAAACTATATTAACATTTAAGTGAGATTCCTTTAAATTATTAGGGACAATGTTAAGAGATCCAATGGCACAAGAAATTTTGAAACATTTTATAGATCAAGTAACAAACAAAAACTTTATTTCAATTATTTTGATATTTACTATACCATCCGATCATGAATAATAATGGAAAAAAAATTATAATTTTTCTTAAAATCAGATGTATGCCTTCAGAGAGTTACAACAACATTAAGTAATAGAAGAACAAAGTAAAAAAGCACATTTTTGTTCTGGCCTTTCTATGAGCTTTTCTATACTATTTTCAAAATCTTTTTGCAGCCTAATATATAACATTTATAATAATAATAGAATAAAAATGTCAAGGTGACACAGTAAATGTACCAGGTAATAAAAAGGTAAATCTCTCAACTCTTTCATCAGAAAATATCAATAATTTGAGTTTTATTTTTAAATTCTTTACAAATTTATTATGTACTTAGTACACTTAGAACTTATTTCTGCAGATCCATGCAGAACTCATGTATTACCTTTCATTCTGTGCCACCTGACTATGGCATCTTGAATAGCACCGGTCAGGGCATGACCAAGGTGAAGGGCCCCTGTGATATTTGGGGGAGGCAACAGCATGGTGAACTCCTCTTGACAAGCAGCATCTCGCTAAACATGAAGAAATATGCATTTAAAAGATGAAAAGCTTGACAATCTGTTAGTCTCAAGAGGGTCAATAGCGTGTTATACCTTGTGAACCAAACCAAAATGTGATGTCAATATTTGCTTGTTGATATTTTAAATTAAGATTACTTAAATCAGTTTTGTTTTCATTTTTTCTATTTTCACACACACAAAAAAGCAACCGTATCATACAACCATATGTGTCCCATAGATATTTTAACAAACAACTTAAGGTAAAATTAGCTGCAGTAAACATTTATTCCTTTATTGCTACTTTTGCAGCATGTCATCAGTGGTTCCCAAAAATATTCGGGTCACTACACCATAAAAGATACACCATTCCATGTTTCCATCACTATAATGAAATATACAACCAGGAAATAATTCAAATGTTACAGATAATAGGATAATCTATATTTGCAGAATGAAATGAGATATTAAAATTCAAATAATACAAAAAATGACATTACACTTAGAGGCTTGAAGTATCCTTTCTGAACCCACCAGTCGTACCAGCCTTCTTGGGTTTCAGCTGGGTCATAAGTTTTACCCATAGGTTTGCTACAGTCTGTTATTGAGATGATATTCATTGAGACATTATATTATATACATTAAAACAGTACTTGAATTTTTCAAAATGTGTCATCAATGTACAAGTGGCTGTGCAATTGGAAAATAACTAGCAAAGAAATTAATTGTTTTTAAATTTTTAAAAGTATTGTACAGATTAGAAATATGCAAAGAATCTCAATCCATTTGTTCGTTCTGGATTAAAGGGATGGTCAGGAATCAACACAAGATCCACATAATTTGATAATCCAGACTAGGAAAAACAAAAAAAATTTTTTATACTTTTAACTTATATTTAAACGGAAAGTTTAGTACAGTCGTCCCTCGCTTATCGCGGTTAACCGGTTCCAGATTCTACCCTGCACTTACTTTGTACAAAAATTTATACAAAATAAACTAACTGCTTTACAGATTTAAAACTATAAATATATTCTAGCAGGGCATTGAATGAACTAATACAATCTTTATAAATCAAACTTAAATCTCAACATTTATGCAAATGAGACACTTAGGCTAAACATGTCTTACTTGCAGAGCTTTTTACAATTTTATGATTGTTGAAGCCTAAATAAGTCCCAACAAACATTTGAATGAGATTCAATGTGAAAACTGCATAAAATATTCCCCTGGGGCTGCTTAAGCCTTTTGGAATATTTCAAGGTCACTTATGTTTTTAAGCAAATAATGGGTAAAAGAAATATTTATAAAATGACAAACACCATAAAGTATCAATGGAAGCCGCCATTAAAATGGCAATTTAAACAAGAAACACGAGTAGCAATCTGATTAGCTGGTAAGAAGACGAGCCTGCCAATCTCAAGCCTTTTTTTAGTAGCCCAATGGATCATTATTTTTGTCTTTCAGAGGATTACTAGCCATTGCTTCCTCCAAATAGTCCTCCAGGGTGGGCAAAAAATGTTTAGGAGACTTGAAAGAATTATTTAAGTGTAATCATCTATTCACAGGTCAAGATGAGATTCGCCAGATTGGTATACCCGGTAAATAGTTTGCACAAGCCTGGTATTACTTTTACAGTTTGTTTGTCTGTGGACTCAATGAGGACAACTTTACTCACAGCAATGGTCCTGTGGATTCTGTCAGTGGGTCTGCAGATTCCTGATGAAACCCATTCTGGCACAAAACTTTCTAGTGCAACAGATACAGCAGATGCAAAGGCAAGGGAAATTAATTAATGTTAATAACTTTAAAGCCACTAACCTTTTTTTGAAATGACATTACTGGAGAAGGAACTTGAAAGATGATTCCTGTTCAACCATCTATCTACCTAGAATCAAGAGGGAGGTGGATACAAATTTTTACAAGTTGCATACTATTGATAATAATATACAGTGGAAAATGGATGCAAATATCAATATATTTTGTAAAAGAAAAGTTAAAAATTAATCTTTTCTTTGATAATCTACATGAAATTTTTATTACTTAAATGGTTGGGTCAATTTATGCAATACAAACCACTTAATTTCTGTGTAGGATTCTCTCCCATTTGCTCATTTTTGGATTGTTACTAGAGTTAACTTTTCTATTTCTTTTAATATTAATATAATGATGGAATGTTTTAAAGTAATATTTCATTGGGTGATTTATTATAATATTTAAAATGAGGCTGACATTTTGGGATGGGTCTTGATATTCCTTACAACTTTTGGATTTTATTGTAGGTGGAACTTGCAAAAGAATGTGGAAGTGTATTAGATGAAACTTAAGTTGAGTTTTCATTATTTTAAAAATAATTTTAATTTTTTATTCTAAATTACCATTTTCTCAGTACAGTACAGTGTGTAGTAACTGTATCAAACCAACACATGGTTTTACGATTCACTTTAGTTTTTGCCCATAGATTTTAGGTTTGAAGATTTACAACTATGTTAGGAGAGGAATAAATTTAGGGCCTATGATTCTTACTTTGGTAATTTACCACCCCAGTATCAGTTCTTTGAAAATTGTGTTGTTCTGGTTGGAAGTACTATTAGACAGTGATTCTTTTATTGATATCTGTTAATGGTACAATTGAGAGAGGATGACTGGGCTTTCGGTGGCATAGAAAGAGAGAGTAGGGGTTGTTTTTTCACTGAAGTGTCAGACCAACGTGCGATCAGGTTATAGGCGTGCATAGAGAGAGAGATATCCTTTCAGGCTCACTTACTGTATCAGACGGATGGGCAGATTATGCAAACATAATCTAGATCAGACGCAGAATCTATGAACACTCTGTTGTGGTTCATCAACAAAATTTTTTCAATACAAATGACAATAATGTCCATACACAGTGTATAAAATATGTGGATGTGGGAAGCTCAAAGTGAAAAGGCAGTTAATGAGTTTGGCACATGTTACAATCTTTTCCTTCAAATCATAGTTGCATGAGTTCATGTTCCGCAATTGTTTCAGAGGAGATGATGAAATAAACTCAAACTCTGCTTCACTTTCATAATAATTCTTGCCATACATTAATTTTTTTCAATTTTTATATTTTACAAATTCTGTATTTTACATATGTGCTTAAATGAATATGTACAATGTCATAAAAACATTAACATTTCCATTAATTTGGATGAAATAATAAAAAAAAAAATTTTTAATTATCAATAATAGAATAACTGTTTAAATCTAAATAGCAATTCGAACCTGAACAACAAGATTTTTAAATTTTTAATAACCTACTTTCCAGTGGTAGTTTGCAACTAGGACTATGACACATACATTTCTATAATATTTATTATTATTGTAAACACTATTTCTACTACTGAAATTCAAGTGCCTTATACTTATGTGCAGAACTGTAACTTAGTTATAGTACCATTAAGGTGTACAGTGAAAGGCTAACTCTAAGACTAAGACTAAGGATGAATGCCACTGTCACTGTGTCTTTTGGGTGTTTATTATAATTATAATTATAGTTGCAGTGAATTAGTTGAATTAAGGTTTAGGTTAGGTTGAGGGAACGATTCAGGGTTCAGGTTAGGAATAGGGATCGATTTTCATTTAGGGATATACTATGATACATTCGTGAAATTCGATAAAATAGTGATAGCTGATAGTGGCATTCGGCATTCGTAGTCCTCGTAATTTACCGATTTGAATTTGTGCTGATAAGGTAGTTAACACTGATAATAATATAAAAATGGAAAAAGATAAAAATATGCCATCAAATGCTTACCATTAGACAAGGTAATCTTCTTTTACATATTATATTTTTCTTATATAAATTCAATGTTCTGAATGACGCAGAAACGTTTGAAAAGGGCGCTGCCATCTTTTTTGTTTTGAAACTGCTAGAAATACGTTGGTAACTATCATAGCTTGATACTACCGGCACGTATAAAGAAAAAGAGTACAGCAACAGTGCGCCCAAACTTTTAAGATTTTTGCATACGGAGTGGCTACAGGTCTCGATTTTTATGATTTTTTTTTTTTAATAATAGCCCAGCATGCACATTTTATTTCCGCCCATAACTTTGAGCAGACTAAGACACTTCTGTTCTAAAAAATATTTCAGGTCTTAACTTTGAAAATTGAAGGTAAAATAATGCTCATTTTGCTCATTCATATTTTTTTTTCTGGAAAGGGTGTATTTCTTAAATAAAAAGACGTCGGTAGATAAATAATAATAGCAATAGCATAAATTACAACATATCAAAAATTCAAAAAGGTTAAGTAGGTACTTGAAGACCACAAGGGAAAAAACGGCAGTCACATTTTTGTTGTTTTGAGATATTCGATTTTTAAAGTTCAAACCATGCACATTAAAAATGTGTAAACAAAATGTAATTTTTAAAATGCATTTCACAAGAGTGTCCATTTCCCTGAGTTATTAAATAGATAAATTAATTCAAACTTGAATGTAACATGATTTATTTCATTATAGTAGAGAGTGGGGTCAAAATGGACTCTGCCGTTTTTTCCCTTGTAGTAATTTATCAAGGTTTGATCATTG